TGGAACTGCCAATTTATTTATTAGTTTTTTGTGGGGTAGTTCAGTGGTAGGAATGAAACTTAAAATGTAGGGTTTCTAATGTGAACTGCTACTACTTAAGCCGAAGCCCGATTCCTAAGCTGCCAGTTCAACTGCATGTGAAAACCTTCAATGTCCACGTAGCAAATGGCATTTTTATTTTTTTTAACGTTAACACAAGCCCATGTAGTCAATGAATCATCGTAAAATATAGGAAAAATTACAAAATCCTTTAAGACCATATTTTCTATGCAACTTACCCCCAACTTGATTTTTTCTTTCCCTTTTTTTCCAAAACAAACTTTTTATGCAAATACCTCCGAGGGAAAAAGTTTGTTTTTTAGACGGAAATGCTCACACAAAAATCACTTTTGTCAGATTTAAGGTTGTCCAAGAGTCGGACCGCCTTAAGACAACTACCGAACCGAAACTGAGTACTGCCGAACTGCCCTTTGTAACTGCCAAACCACCATTTGCAACTGTCGGACAGTACTTTGAAACGGCCGAACCGTATTGAAGCCCTACTGTCAGATCGCATTTTTACACAGTACCGAAGCCCTACTGCTGGACCAGAAACGGCCGAACCGTATTGAAGACCTACTGTCAGACCGCATTTTTACACAGTACCGAAGCCCTACTGCTGGACCATACTTACACAGTCTGGAGCCCATATTTTGGTGGGATAGAGGAGAGAGAGGTGTGGGTAAGGTAAAATAAGAACATGTAATTTAGGCATTTTTTTATTTATTCTTTTGTTGAGGCATATTTACATAGAAAGTGTATTTTGGGGAGAAAAGTGAGAGAAAAAGTTAAGTTGGGAGCAAGTTGAATGGAAAGTGTAGTATTGGGGTTTTTCATAATTTCGTTATGTTAAAATTTTGAATCCTCTTGAGAAATCTCTCTATATGGATTAATTGTTAAGAGTATACAAAGTCCCGTATACATATACGGCTAATTAGTTATTGATAATGACGAACTAATCTAGTCGTATCAAGAGAGATATCTACATCAAATACAAGAGAACTTAAAAAACTATCATCAACTATCTTTATATCCTCAACTATTTCTAGAAGCTCTGATACCATGTTAAAATTCTGAATCCTCTAGAAATCTTTGTAGATGGATTAATTGTTAAGAATATAAAAAGTACCGTATACCTATACGGCTAAAATTCGGAATCCTCCAGATAAATCTCTATGGATGGATTAATTGTTAAGAATATAAAAAGTCCCGTATACATATACGGCTAATCAATTATTAATAATGACGAACTAATCTAGTATTATCAATAAAGATATCTACATCAAATATAAGATAACTTAAAATTAAAAACTATTATCAACTATCTCTATCTCTTCAACTATCTTTATCTCTACAAAATATTGTACCTATTCACTGACCGACCATTTATTTCATAGGTGGAGTTTGTAATGAGATTGCATTTGGTTATTTGATCCCCGTTAACTAACAAATTTACATTGAGGAAAGAGCTTGGTGATCTTGAAATACTATTTCCACAACAAACCTGCATTTCAGAAAAGTTGAATGTTATGAACTCAAGTTTCTTTGTTAATATTTAGTCTTTTTTTTTTTTTGAAAAATTATCAAAATGCACTTAAAAGATGAACCTTCTAATGTTTTACTCATATCTTTTGATTTAATCTAAAAAATCCGATAAAAAACACATGATCATGAGTTGATATGATTGAAAAAGGTAAAATGTTGAATAATTGACAAGTGTATTTAGATAAGGACCCAGTTTCTATGTGGTCAAGCCCACA